AACTGAATAAGCATCTTGTGAAAGAGTTAAATAAATGTAACTTTAGTCGATATGAGCCTACATAAGTGTTGTCTCGCTCTAGAAATTAATTTTAATCTATGCCTAGGAACTAAATGTTCTGCGGCGATTAATAATCCATCGAATATTTTGCTGTTATGCAACTGGCGTGAACGCCCTTGCTGAAATTTGGGTGCCACCAGTGGGCTGTCCTCTGGTCTCCGTATAAAGTTAAACATAAAGGAGTGCTGCATCTCGTTTTTCTTACCCAATTGAAAATACTTATTAAAAACCATTTTTAGAAAACTTTAAAAATACTCCATTCCACATAACCGACACTTATCGCACTTAACCTTTTTTCCAAAACTTGCTTCAAAAATGTATATTTTAGAGGAAACCAAACACAAGGTTCAACGGTTGCTTCGAGCCGTGCCTGCACAATACAGTCGCTTCTCGAGAAAAATATCTATATGATCGAGCATAATTTATGAAAGATTGAGGCCATTGTGTAAATATTGGTTGCAAACCTGACCGACGACACGCACTTTAGCTCCTAGATGCCATTAACGAAAAATTTAAGACAATAACCTGGCTGTTTAATCTCTTAACATTGCATTCTTGCTTAGTTTATTCGGATTTCCGCTATTTAGGAAATGGATTATGGTAACCACTGATGCGATTAGTCATCCCTTTTGGCAAACCTGAAAGGTCTTCGCCTAGGTGTCAGCTATGAAGGACCACTAATAGCCTAGCGTTTCGATATCCTGGGTGCAAAACTTTTTCAACTCCCCGAAGGTTTGATAGTTACTTCCAAAGAAAAAGAGCCCTTTTGCAAAGAAATATATGTTGAAAGTAAGATGTTGATAACGCTATAGTATCGGAAAGATCTAAACGTGCATGTTTAAGATGTATTTTGAAGTAACATGAGGAAAAAGAGTCTGTTACTAAAAAATTAGATTTCTCTTTGAATGGATATTTTTTCTCGAGATCTTAATCGAAAGCGAGAAGGCTTTTCACAAACTCAATCCTAAGGATCCTGACCGTCGCATTTGTCTGTTCTTTAATTTTTCTTTTTCCGCCATCAATTATCCACTTTTTTATCAACTAAGGTAAACAATGAAACCCATTTGTAAATGATCATGTCAGTTTTGACAATTTTTATTAAAAAACATCGTATTCGCGAAAAAAATTGGAAAAATTACGGTCTCCTATTAAAGTAAGGAAGATTAAAAGCAAAATTTCTTCATTCTTCATAAACCTTGTGCAAGAACTTTTGATAGACATAGTAAAACCAGCTTTTGCAGCGAAGAACTACCAACATCGTGAATGATTTGTATCAAACAGAGATGTTTATTTGAAAATTTTAACTCATGATAGCGGGAAGAGATTTAAGAAAAGAATCCCTTCCCTTCAACTTGAATTTTCTCGACTGTTTCGGCTATTTTCAAAACTATCTAACGCTATACTTTCTGCGCTAGAAACTTGACTGAAGAATTTTCTTGAATTCGTACGTTAAAAAATAGTGTCTAGGATATTGGAAGAAAACCACTTTACTTACTGTTTACCAATTGCTGCGAGGAAGGTCGAACAACCTGTAAGTTACACACAAGAAACAAAAAAGTCAAGGACAAAATCAGGCATTCTTTACGGTGACACAAATCCCTACTCATGTTCGAAAGGAGAATGAAAATTTTCCACATCATGGCCATCGAGAGCGGGTCCACCACTCCTTGATGTTACTGGTGACTCCTAAGAGATTGTATTTCGAACCGGATATGAAGGAATACTGGCCATACGTTTGCACTTTCATCACATTAAGTGAGTTTTTCCTTGACTTCAAAACAAACATGGTGCAGGTGAGCCAACATAATTCTCTTCTTTGACCCTGGATATACACCATGAAAAAAAAAAAAATTGGACAAGTTCATTCCGAAAAAATTTGAAGTCAAAATGGCCACGACGTCTCTGTTTCACCTTTTTCCTTAAAAATCCTTAACAAAACGTTCAGAATTTTTCATTTCGCACGCTTGGTTTTCACTGAGCTTCATCTCAAACGCATAACCAGATATTTAATTTGACAAAACGATGCAGGAGGGAAAGTTGAGTGGATATCACTTCGTCAGTTTCAATATTGATTCTTGCCAGAGGTGTTCCATACGACATTTTCCATCGGCGTTATAGCTTACGCGTACATTTAATTAAACTGGACAAAAGAAAAGAAAGCTTTTTACGAAACACTTCCTTTTTTAATGGAATGGACTATTCTCATCCATAGTTATCTTGTTGTTGACATTCAGACCTTATCGAAGTCAGTATAAGTTGAATGAGTTATTGTCAAACTGCTGGCAGAAAAAATGCTAATTTGAAGACGAAACAGAGCTTTATTTTATTATCCCTGCTTTAATTTCCATGACTTATGTAGGACCTGTATTGAGGAAGCCACATTTTCTGTCCAAAAAAGCAAAGACATAGAAAAATGAACGATGTTTACAGTTACAACTTTGATTAAAAAAAGAACCAGTTTAATGAGACCTGCGGGTTGGTTAACGTTTGCAGATTAGCACTTGGTCTGAGGCCGCTGTGTAAATTCATTATTTATTTGAGCGAACGCTGATATAGTTCTCTTCACAATCTCGGTTACTTGCCATTAGACGAGCAGGTCAAAGAATGCTGGGGCCCACCTGAGGGTAAAACGTCAGACGGGTATACGAAACAATTCAACTTACTCGTTCTAATCTGCAAGTTGTTTAAATGAAATATTTCGTGGATCGATTGTAAGTTGTGTTTTCTGAAAGGTTTATTATATAAGGATACTAGTCTAAGAGTTGGTTGTTCATTAAAATTCCAGACTTTCTGCTTCGAATTCTCGCAATAAAATTAGTGAATAAGCTTGCTGCAAATCCTTTAAATCATTTAGGACTCTATGGTTTGCAACCCTCAGAATGACCATTTCGAGGAATTGCATTCGCGGATATTGCTTTATAAGAGTAATTTCATATTTTGTCACCACTTCACTTTCTTTTCAACCTATCAGATGGCCATTATTCACTAAAAAATGCGTGAAGTACCTTGAGTTCCATAAACAAGCCCTGTGAAATCCTATATAAAATTGAATCAAGACCTTACCTGTCCCCCTTACTTTATTGCTCGAAAAAAAATACAATGTGAAGATTTCTTTATTCATTTCAAGAAGGTTTGCCTTTTCAACCACGCTTATTTTCCAATCACAAAATAATAAAAGTGAATCAAGTGACTGGAGCCCAGAAATTAACTGTACAGTTGAACCATTTGCAAACTCTAACCGGGAAATTCGACCGTTCCCACGCTTTTCAGAAATATGTACATTTCTTCCATAAAAACGGTGGTTTTTTGAACCTTGAAAGTTTTTCCACTTTGCCATTGTCAATATGTCTTGCTTTAAGGGTGCCAAAGTTTTATTGAATATTCGAAGACTGCTCTATCTTCATAGTTTATGCTCATACCTGTACTGTTCGCAAACTTGGAATTTTGAAACTCTTCATTGATAACTCAGAAATCCATTTTTTCGTTTTACTTCACTACTCCTGAGCTCATTAATATTTTTAAGTTAGAAGCTAGATGTAAAATACTGGGTATTTACTGAAATTAAAACTGATGCTACAAACTTTCTTCGTGGGCCACGGTTTTGGCCGTTTGTTATTTTTTTTTTCTGACCAGAGTAAAGCTTATTCCACGTCAAGATGTGTGGACAGACTTTTTAGATTTTTTTCAATAATTTTGAGTATCAAGAATCTAGCGTGAGAGAAGCATCTTCTTTTTCTTCTTCTCTTAAGGTATACTGCGAGTACCATGACTTACGTGCACGCGTTCATCACGTGTAAGTTGCTTAACGGGAATGCATTATTGTACTGTCTGACTTGCAAATATCTCGCTGAAAAATTTCAAGCGCCTATGAACTACGTAAACAGAAGTACGATCAACTTATTCGAAGATCAAGCCTCGTTGGCTCCTGTTAGTCAGTACGTTGTTTTCAAGACCCTATTACTGCAATCTTACGAGTAAATGGACAGTATGCCAACTCCGTCATCGACATCATTGAGGGATCGACTGAAGGTTCCTCGCTGCAATTCCTTGTTCGGCGAGAAATCCTTGACCTTTTATGAACCAACTCTCAATAAAAACGCAACTGATCATTTAGATTTACATTTGGCCAGCAAGGGTCGAGATGAGCTCTTCGAAA